AGGTTTCTTTTCAAGCATCAGTCTGTTGTCTGTAGATCGATATTTTGTCGGTAGGTCGGATTTTCTCTTATAAACTGACGTATCATCAGCATCCTGTTTAGTACCAGTAGGCTAGTTTTGGCTGGTAGACCCGTCAGATCAACTTTTTCCGGTAAACCGGTTTGGACCGGTGGGACCGGTTTTTATTGGTAGATCGGTTCCATCTGTGGCGGAAGATACATTAAAACGAAGTTTCACTGTAAGAATCAATGTATTATTGGTAAGCCAGTTTTACCGATCCGGTCCCGTCTGATTTGTTTTGGACCGGTACCGGTACCGGTCTGAAAAAAAGTAGACCGGTTCCATCTCTGGTATACGTGCCGTAATCTCATTATGATAGGGCCGTATAACTGCGCCCATCCATATGACCGTATACGGTCTGTTTAGGCGCCGTAAAGTAACCGTAAACGGTCGTATACAGGCCGTATCGATGGACCTGAATATTCTTTAATCCAACAGCATATCGTTTTCTGAATTATAAACTAAAAGTAGAAGTAAAATTAGCATCTATTGTCATTCACATGTTAGCTGTCAAATAGAATGTCTTGCTTGTTTTATGTATCACAGGTTTTTAGTCTTTATGTCGCATCATTGTATAACAAACTTGAAGAGAAGAATATCTGTGATGCGTTGAAGTTATTCACATTACTGTTGATGTCTTCGTACCACCAAAAACTTCTACCATCTCTAGATGCATGTCTTTATATATAGAAGTGACCAAGAGATAAAAAAGGCCATCAAGTATCAGTCATGAGAGAGAGCATAAGAATCTAACATGTTAGCAGCTATCAAATATAAACAAAACCATTGTAAAGATGACAAAGAGAAAGCCATAAGAATGACGATGGTACATGTTCAATGAAACTTTATTAATATAATCGTCAACTCTATGATAAACTATGCTTTGAAATCAGTAATCCACAATGAATGTTTTTTTTGCAACTTCTCCCTTCATACAATCTCTTTGACTAACAAAAGAAATCTTTAGCCTGCATGTTTGATCAATGGCACTTCTTGATATGTTAGAAAAAAATACAAAATTATTTTCATGATTGTGAAAATAAAGAGAGCACCTAGTAGAATTAATTGTCTATTGTTTAATCAGTCAGAAAAAGTGATTATACTTCATATTATGTTCGCATGAAAAAGCATACTAGCAAAACTATTTATCTTGGTATTAGGATGGATTCATGAGAATTTCAACACTCATCAAAATTTTTATTGAAAATTTAATTTAAAAAAGTTATTCTCAACTAAGTTATCCAACCTAATGATATTTAGTTTGAAAATCTATCGACCAAATGATCATCAAACTACAAATTGCAAGTAAAATATTGAAATAGTCGCACTTACTGTATTATATTTTTGAGCATTAGACACACATAGATATTATGTATTAGAAAGAAGGTTATACTTCTTTTGACGATGAAAACTAGTTTAAAAATGAAGAAGCTCTCACATATACACACCAAGTATGTATAGTACTGAGAACGACTAGATAGAAGAAATTTTACGTTCGAAAAATATACCAGAAAAATGAATATTTATATGACGGATCAGGAACGTGATCAGTGAGTTAGAGGGATAAAAACGTGCTGGAATCCTTTTTATTATTGAATATCATCATATAACAAATTGCATTATGCACTTATATTTGGCATTCACTTGATAAAAAAAAGTTAACTAGCAGGCAGAAATACAGTAGAGATGGGTGGTAAACACTTCATATGTTTAGTAACATTTTGTTTCAGCTATAAACGCTTGATAATTAATTAAATAGTCATATGTTCAGTTTATTTTAAATGAATTTAGAGAATCAGGAGAAGACAGTAAACGTTTACTATACATTTCCAGACGCTGTAATTGTTATTTCGAATATCACTTGCTCTTTATTGATAAGTCTTATTTCTTGATAAATTTCTACGAACGTATCGGACTGTGAACAGTATTGCATCAGCAATGCACTACTTTGCTTTTTGTTTGTCTATTGGTTGAGAATAAACGACATGAAATTAGCAGTACAATAATAGAATCTTCACTCATACAGCAAAACACTATGGTGCCTTATTAATATAAGGGACGATTAATCAATATTCAAAGATATAACTTGATATTCAGCTCTTTGTGTATTGAAGAAACGTGCAACATATATATGAGGATCTTCAATATATAGAGAATGATTCTATTCAGTTATTTTATTTCAACGTGTTCTCGTTCATTATAATCATATTTTAGATGATTTGACCAGCTAAAGTTTGGAAGAAAACTCAAAGAGATTCACAGAACCTTCATATTGTTATGCAAATCAATGCATGGTTCATTTTTTTACCAAAATGATTTTCATTCACTCAATATTCAATTCCTAAACGAAAATCAATTTCATTATTTTTTTGATAAAATTTTGTGGAACGATAGATTGTCGATACTTATTCACTGGCATAACTAAAACTGTTAAATTCAAACAAATCATTTAAACAGAATTGACACGATAAAAATAATCTTAGAAAAAAAATAACTTCTGTAAAACTTTATTAAAGAATCTGACAGTAAATGAAATCATCCAAGCACAATATACAATACAAGTATGAAAAGAAATATCTGTTTTGGTTTAGTCATGAAAAATAACTGAATAACCGAACAAAATTGTTCGCAAAAAGTATACAATTCGAAGAGAAGATAAAGCAAGAGAATCAACATGACGTGACTATGATACTTTGAAATATGGTAGTATAATTGAAAGATAAGTAAGTAGTAGGCGATTATTCATTGTTATACTTGAAGCATTGGCATTGTATACTATCATCATAGTCTGTATGTTAATTGAAATTAAAAAGTGAAACGTGCGAAATATTTTTATTATTATATTACGTGTCTTATACAAATCAGGCTTGATTAGAAAAGGAATGAAAGTTTTGAATATCATTCTTTTGAAAGATTAAGGGTATGAAAACTAAGTGTCGTAGCAAGTGCACAAATATATTTATTTTTTAACAGTTCAAAAGATTATTTGTGTTCATCGGTTTTTAGATGTAAATTTTGGTAATGAATTGAACCTATACGCAAACAAGCACTAAGATTATTTAGAAGATGATTATATCATCCCTACTCATGAAAACAATTTCGTTAACGGTCGAAAGAAGATAACTCTATTTTAATTTGATAGATTTGATTTGCTTGTCAGTCAGGTGATTTATTATTATTGGATGGTATACTATATCAAAAAAAGTTAATATTTATTTGTATAAAGAATAAAACTACTTAGTAGTATAAAATCTTGTAAATACTATTTTCAAATTATGTACTAGGATTCAGTCAATTTTATCATCTTCATATTCTGGTACTACATTTTACTTTTGAGTTTATTAAGTTTAGTCTTTTCTCTAATGAATATTCTACACAGTTGTATTGAAATATATTAATAGATATCATAGCTGTCGAGAATGATACATTTAGGCTTGTTATTTTGGTTCTGCTCACTCTTTCTTTTTTCGGTATTGGTTTTACATATTGTTGTATCTCTTTCTCATTCGCTTCTCTTCTGTTTTTTCCTTGATACAGATTTGGTACGTTGAAATATGCGAAAGTGGCTTGTTTGTTTAAAAGATGAGGGGAACATTCATTGTTTTTTTTTGGCAGAGAAAGATTGGAAGATTGAATTCAAACAATAGCAGTGTTATTAATAATCTAGTTGTCAGTCAGGAAGAAAGACAGCACTTGGTGCGAATCAATGTTGAGTGCATTGTCAACTGTAACTAAATTTCTATTTTATAGAAAATTGAGATAGAAATACCTAAAGCAATTTAAAAGTTTTTATAGATTGCTAAGCACATTTGAAATTTAGAGAAAGATTGACTGTTTTATACAATACGAAAATTCGATTTTATTTTCTCGAGAATTAAGTTTCAGAACTAAAAATCAAATTTAATTTTGCAAAAGAAAACAGAGATCAATTTTGTTCAGCATTGGCTATTCTGAGATGGCTGCAGCAACTTTATGAACTGCATTCATAACATAGATTTCTCATGTTACTTTTTTTCGTGAACTACATGCTTCTCTTCATATAGTGTTCTTTCATTGAAAACTGAATTGATCATTTTGGAACTTTTCATTTGACAAAAGTATTCATTTTGTATTATTACATTTCTGCTAGACATTGTTTCTTGCAATATCTAATTACGTATATAAGAGCAGTTCCACAATAATTATGCAGTTATTTTTGTTTTACATCACAGTCGTTTTTCATGGGTATTTACGGTTTGATAATTTTAACATTGAATATCCAAAATATTATTGACTTTTCCTTTGTCGTATATGATATTGTGGCTCATAAACGAAGTTAATGTTATGAATTAATTAGTTAAGTGCAAAAAAAAGAATTATGTAATGTTGTTTATTAAAACTATTGTATTTTCTAGAAAAAATTCAGATTTTAAAAAAGTTCAACTAAATGTGATCATGATTTTTTAATTAGAAAATCAAAATTTGAACTTTTTGAATTTCATTTTTTTGACAAAGCGAAGATCAGTTGTCGAACTCAGACTTGTCTAGAATATTGCTTTCGATTTTCTAGTGTATTTTACTTTTTAAGTAGAATATTTCGAAGAAAACCGTCATAGATGTACGATTCTTTCTTTATAACTATTACTTAACATATTTAAAAAGTTCAGAAGGAATATCATGTCACTGACAGCAATGTTAGTCAAACTCTAATTTTTATTTGACATCTTACAATAGAAATGATATTTAAATCTGTTGATTAACATTATGTTGATATCTTTTTTCTTTTGTATTTGTCTTTCAAACACATGGGTTTGCTCTTTATTTTATTTGTCTATCTGATTTCTTCAAGCAAACACGTGTATATATACATACATACAAGTGTGGCCATAGTTTAAGATTGTTACATTATCATTTTAAACTGAACGATCTAAAATAAGGAATATCAATCGATGGAATAAAATATGCGTGAAATTGTGAATATCTCTATTGGACAATGTGGTAATCAGATTGCAGGAAAAGTAAAAACAAAAAAAAGAGCAGATAATGTAATTGAATGAATATTTTTGTTCTATTCTAGTTTTGGGAAGTTGTTGCTGATGAGCATGGCCTTTCTCCACTTGGTGTCTATGGTGGCGATTCCGATTTGCAACTTGAACGAATCAATGTCTACTTTAACGAAGCAACAGGTAACAAGAATTTATATATTATTCATTTTATATGATGAAAAATGATGATTTTTTAGGTGGTAAATACGTTCCACGAGCAATTTTATGTGATCTCGAAGTAGGTACAATCGATAGTATACGTGCTTCACCCTATGGTCAAATGTTTCGACCAGATAATTTTATATTCGGTTCATCTGGGGCAGGCAATAACTGGGCTAAAGGTCTATCAATTATCACACCAATGTAATCTGATAATAAGTATTTATTTTTCTTAGGTTATTATGGTGAAGGAGCTGAAATAATTGATTATATATTAGATACTGTTCGTCGAGAAGTAGAAAATACGGATTGTCTACAAGGTAATAATGACAATACTTCACTTTTATTCAAAATATTTTTTTTTCCACTTTTTAAAATTAGGCTTTCAAATAATGCAAAGTATTGGTGGTGGATCAGGTTCTGGACTTGGTTCACTTGTATTAAATCGTCTACGTGAGGAATATCCTGATCGTATGTTTTTGTTTTGTTCTCATAAAAAAAATTAAAAATAAAGTTCAACAACATTTATTTTCATTTAAGGAATGATGGTTGGTTATAGTGTTTTTCCATCACCTCAAGTATCTGAATCTATTGTTGAACCATATAATGCTATGCTTGCTGTTCAACATCATATTGATTCAACTGATATGCTTATATGTTTTGATAATGAAGCTCTTTATGATATTTGTACTCGATCACTTAAAATTTCTTTTCCTACAATGACTGATCGTATGTCAATCAAAGGGATAAGATATAGTTGTATTTTTAACTCTATTTTTTGTTCTAGTCAATCATCTTATTGCTATAACTATGTCAGGTCTTACAACGTGTCTTCGTTTTCCTGGTTAGTCATCTAGAATTAATATTAAATAATTTCTATTGTATATTTTAGGTCAATTAAATGCTGATTTAAGAAAATTAGCTGTTAATATGGTTCCATTTCCACGTTTACATTTTTTTATGCCATCTTTTGCTCCATTAATATCACGAAGTGGTCAAACATATCGAGCAATGTCTGTACTTGAATTAGTTCATCAAGTATTTAATCCTCGGAATTTAATGTGTGCTGTTGATCCAAGACAAGGGCGATATCTTACTGTTGGTAAGAATATGATTTTTTGTTTTGTTTACACATAATCAGGTTTAATTATTAAGCACTTGTTTTTCGTGGTCGTTTATCAATGCGTGAAATCGATGAACAAATGTTACACGTACAAAATCGTAATGCACAATATTTTATTGAATGGATACCAAATAATGTTAAAACAGCTGTATGTGATATTCCACCAAAAGGATGTCGAATGTCTTGTACTTTTCTTGGTAAATTAATTAACTTATTAAAAATAAATGAAAATTTTCTTTTATTTTTTTTTTTAAATAGCAAATAATACGGCTATTGAACAATTGTTTAAAAAAATTTGTCAACAATTTTGTGCTATGTATAAACGAAAAGCATTTATACATTGGTATACAGCTGAAGGGTAAATCTATTTAAAAGTGTATTAAATTGATTTCTTTTTATTTAATATATAGAATGGATGAAATCGAATTTACTGATGGTAAATAATCTCAATTGTCTATGTATATGTCTAGATCTATATTTGATTTTTTTTAACATTTAGCTGAAGCTAGTTTAAATGACATTATTAGTGAATATCAACAAATTAGTAATTATGAACCTGTAGATCAAATGGTTGATTCTTTGTCCAAATAATTTCTTAAATAAAATTATATATTTGACATAAATATCTAAAAGTATTAGAAATAGAAAAGCGAAATAGTTCAATGAATAGATTATCGAAAGTCTGCCAATAAGATTATTCGTCACTATCGATTTGGATTGTTCTGCCAGAATCGTTTTTCTAATGTCTAATAGAATCTATTAGTGCATTTATATTTTTTTACTGTTACTCTTTCTTGAGTAGAATGACATCTAACGAGTACTCACTGTTGGTTATGTTACATCCATTAACAAATTCCTTAACAGCTGAATGACTGACAACCAAAAATGAATTGGCAAACAACTCAAGAACTTTCATTGCTCTTATCAAAAAGTTCGAGGACGAACTAAAAATCGTACTATCATATCATTAAGTTGAATAAATGAATCCAACGCGTTGTCGTCGATTAAAGATTCTTCTTTTTTCATCATCATTTGCTTTAATAATTTATCTTATTCGTCGCTATCGTCGATATCTTATATTGAAAAAACGACAATCTCTTATAACTCTACGAGAAGGATCTTCTACTAATGCCATTCCACCATCATCAATTAGAAAAACAATTAATAAACAATTTTTTCATCAACTTCGAGTACTTATTCGAATTCTTATTCCACGTTTACGAAGTGATTCATTCTTTCTATTAATTACGCATTTAACAACACTTATAACACGAACATTTCTTTCAGTTTATATAGCACATCTTGATGGTGCTATTGTAAAATCACTAGTACAAAGAAATCCACGAGATTTTTTTCGTACAATTAGTATATTTCTAGCTGTTTCCGTTCCAGCTAGTTTTATAAATAGTGCAATTCGTTTTGCAGAATCCAAACTTGCATTAGCATTTCGTACAAAACTAACTCGTCATGCATACGAAGCTTATTTTCGCGTAAGTTTTACATCGTCTATCATTATTGTTTCAATCAGCAATTCAATTAATTCTAGAATCAAACATATTTTCGAGTCTCAAATTTGGATAGTCGATTACTTACACCAGATCAAAATTTAACAGATGATATTGAAACATTTACATCAACATTAACTCATCTTTTTTCTCATTTAACAAAACCATTTTTTGATGTAGCTGTTATTTCTTGGTCACTTATTTCAATGATGCTACTAAGAAAAAGAGCACGAGGTCTTAAAGGTAATCAGAAAGATAAATCAATCATGATGTTTTAATTTCATTTTTTTTTGTTTTCTATGGTATCAGAAGTACCTGCTATGCTAGTTGTAATTATTTCGGTTACATTCATGGCCCTTCGTAAATTATCACCTCATTTTGGTAGACTTGTCTCTGAAGAAGCTAGAAGACGAGGCATACTTCGTTTTGCTCATACAAGAGTTATTGCTAATGCTGAAGAAATAGCCTTTTTCGATGGTCATGAAGTATGTCGAATGATTTTTCATCTCATATAGAAATAATTCCAAAAATTAAAAAATAGGTTGAGAAAAATTGGATATTAAAATTATACGATCAATTACGGGCACAAACAAGTTTAATTATTAAGAAAAAATTATGGTTTATTATGCTTGAACAATTTTTAATGAAATATTTCTGGCATGCATGTATGTCTACACGAAAATATTTTTATAAATAATAAGTGTTTTTTATTCTTAGGTGGAATGACATTCATTGCAATACCTTTTCTTACATATGATGGACCACCAGAAACAGATGGTAAATAAGACCGATATTCTTATTAAATACTAAATCATCTTTGTTATTATTAGATCCAGTAGGAGATCCACTTGGTATTAGTACACGTACAGAAGCATTTACAGTCAGTAAAAGTTTATTAACATCTGGTGCTGATGCACTTGAACGTATTATTTCATCATATAAAGAAGTAAGATTAATCTATTAGACAATAATTATAAATGAATGAGAATATTCTTTTTTTTTTAATTAATTAAAGATTGCTGAATTGGCAGGACATACAAATCGAGTTTATACAATGCTTCATGTTTTTGACGAATGTGCCCATGAACACTATCAACGAGCTCCGATGACAATAGATGAAGGTCATCCTGAGCATTCATTAACAACTGTAAAAAGAAAAGTGGCAGTAAATCAACGAGCAGGTTGGTCAAAAATGAATTGTGAAAAAGAAAAATTTCTGTTTCTTTTGGTTTTATTTGTTTTAATAGAAGGTCAAATCATTGAATCTGAAGAAGATATTATCGCTGAAAATGTACCGATCATCACACCAAATGGTGATATTATTGTCGAAAGTCTTTCCTTGAAGGTAAAATTCTTCACTACACACATCAAGGACAACTGTTCTCAATATTTCTTTTTCAGATTACACCGGGTATGCACGTTCTTATCACTGGACCAAATGGTTGTGGTAAATCATCATTTTTTCGCATTGTTCGTGGTTTATGGCCAATTTATTCTGGCCGTCTTCATCGACCTAATCCATCAAATTTCTTTCTTATTCCACAACGACCTTATATGTGTCCAGGTACATTACGTGATCAAATTATTTATCCAGATACAATTGATCGAGCATTTGTTGATGATAGTAAACTAATGGAAATTCTTAATAATGTTGAGTTACAATATATTGTACAACGTGAAGGTGGTTTAAATGCTGAACGTGATTGGAAAGATATTTTATCTGGTGGTGAAAAACAGCGTCTTGGTTTAGCTCGAATTTTTTATCATCGACCTAAATATGCTCTACTTGATGAATGTACAAGTGCAGTATCAATTGATGTTGAAGGTAAAATATATGAACGAGCAAAAGATTTAGGTATATCATTACTTACTATTACACATCGACCATCTCTTTGGTTAGTAAATTTTGATAATTATTAGAGAAATATTTTCTAAATTTTATTTTTTAAATATTAAAGGGCTTATCATACACATTTACTTCAATTTGATGGTGAGGGTCGATGGACATTTGAAGTATTGAATACAGAAAAACTTTTGACATTGAAAGGTGAGAAAGAACGTCTTGAAGCACAATTAGCTGGTGTTCCACAAATTCAACAACGTTTAAATGAACTATGTCAGTTACTTGGTGAAGATACAATGACAATAGAAAATCAACAGTATGAAGAGATGAATAATAATTGAGTTTTTTTTTGCATTAGTAATAGTCAGGAATGGGCTTTTTTTGTTTTATTTTAATGAACATTTATTTAAGTTGAAGTCAGAACATTTGTAATATTACCTTTAATTTATTATATGTGTGTGACGACAACGTTTCGAATAATGTAGATTTTAATGATTTTTCAGTTGTATTCTTATTGATTGTAATACATGAATGATAAGAATGCATTTAAAAAAGTTTATCAATAAATATATGTGATTTCAAACCTATATTCATCAAATATAATAATGAAAAATGAACAATGACATTTTTTTAAATTAGTTACAAAACAAATCCATTTTTAGACAATTCTTTTGGTACATAAGAGAGATCATAAGTAAGAACAAAACTGAAACTACACATGTTGGATTCGTTTCCTGACAAGATTTTCCAAAATATCAGATCGATTTTGTGCTTCAAGTTGAATATTTCTATGTGAACTCTTTATAAAAGAGATCAACTAAATAATAAAATCTTATTAAAATGCATGTAGGCGTATGGAATTCTTTTCGTGTTGGCACATAAACACTCACTTTCTTATATATTATTTGAAAAGTTAGATGCCATCATCGTTTTATTGTATCCATAAAGTATTTATTATTTTTGAGTTTTCGATTGGTTTTGATAAAGAAATTAAAAAACGATCAGACTAGTGTGCTTAATAAACTAGTTTTTTTAGTTTATGCAAACTGAAAGAAAATGCTACATACAAAGGCATTAATTGCTTTCTCATAAAATATTCGGACACGACACTTATTTTACTATATAGTAATTCCTACACGTGTTGAACTTTACGTTTGAATAGACAGGAATCTGTTACTGATATAAGATTCAAATACATATGCTTTATTTGACAGAATAAAGTGCTTTCATTACTTCAATAATTAATTTCCTACGAAGTGCAATCAAAACTCAAGAATATAATGAACAACTGATAATTATGACACCATAGGTGTGCACGAATAACAATAGCTTTTAGAAAACTTGAAAAAAAAATAATTTTTTTTCAAACTATATAATGCGATTATTAAACATCAAGTTAATATTTTTTTGACTAAAAATAAATAATGATACATTGAATGAATAATATAAATTCTTGGTCATAGTAACATTAACATTAAAATATAAAAAAATCTTTCATATCAACGAAGAATCGTTGTAGTACTAATTTCATATGTAAGAAATGTTTTGCGTGAATATACAAATGTATAGCATGCAAATATTCACAAGCATAAGTCCTAGAAACTTTATTTCAAAGTTTAAAAAAAGACAGTGTTTTTCAATAATATCTCTTTGTATGAATTATTGTCTCGCATTTATTCGTAACTATGATAATATTTAATTCTTCTGCGGCGATAAGAATACTGCTTTTTCATAATTGGAGAAAGATTTCATTTCTTTATTTATAAGAGCTGTAACACTTCAAAACAATTTTTATCAAGGTTCCTCTTATAAATATGAGCTATGAACATTCCTTTATCATTGGTTAAAGACTCAGCTTCTTTCAAAGTATGACAGAGATACTCAATTTTATCTGTGGTAAATGAGCTTTTAGACTACTCTTTACTGTGAACCACGGGTGGTTCACATCGCCTCTAATGGATTAAAAAGTAATTCACATGATAGTAGATTAATAAAGAAACATTTGAAGAAATACCTCGTAAGTAAGATCACTTTTCTGAAATTTTTCCATAAATACAAGTATATTTAAAATTTTTACGTTTAGCTGGAAATCGTTCAAAGAAAACAATGAATGCCGAAAACATACACATCCTTAAAATAATCGACAAGATAAACTAATAAAGTGAAAATTGTTAATAATTGAAATATGCACATATATTGTAAATCAGTAAAAAAGTTTGCCTGAGTTCAATGAAATCTTGATCTTATTCTAGTTTTAATTATTAACCTTTTTTTTTACGCTAGAATATAAACACAGTACTATTACAGATAAGAAAATTCTAACTTGACATTTCTCAAGTATGTATTAGATATTTCAAGAACATCTTTGTTTCTATCGAATAGTCTTTCGTATCATAAAAGCATTCTTTTGCATATATTTGAAGAACTTTTTTTGGTCATATTTTGTATTTTAAAATGTGTTAACTTTATTTACAAGCAGGTTGCACTAGTCTAATGCGTCAATTCATGCATACTAAGTGATAATAATATTACTTCTCATCATTTTTCTTTCTCACTTGTTCAATTAAATTGCCTATCACATTTTCTTCATTACCAACTATTTTTATTTTCTTTTTAAATCCAGTGCACATTCTTATATAGTTTCAGATTCAGTTTGTCGAGCTGACTGTTTTTTATTTTCTTTAGTAAGATTTTTTTTTCTTACATGTAATTATTTGAAGTTTCATTCAAAAGATAGTTATGCGGTAAGTCTTGTAAATGCTTGAGCAAACTAAATAAATAATACTTAAATTATAAGTGATTAATATCCATACGTATGCCTGTCCGTTCGAATAATTACGGACATCATTCATAATTAACTTCACATACGGATAAATTTTTTTATATTTTCCTTCGTGTTTTTACCTAATTCTAGTATTTCTCATATCATGCACCGATCTATTTTATTCATTCTTTGTTTGGCTATTATACATTTGAATCACGCATGCTATATAACCAATTGTCCTATCGGTGGTAAACGAAACTTACATTTTGATAATAATTTACATAATCATCAAGTTAGAAATCAATAAAGTTTTTTTTTTTTCTTAAAAGATTATTATTTTCGTTCTTCCTAAATTTAGTGCCCAAGATGTGGACTAAATGGTCAATGTTTTGGTCCATCAATTTGTTGTACTGGCCTAGCTTGTCGTATTGGCAATCCATCTGACATTCGTCAATGTTCACTGGAAGACCGTAATGTCATACCATGTGAAATTAAGACTACAATCTGTTCAGCTTTACCAAATGGTCGATGTGCTGCCAATGGAGTATGTTGTGGTATAGGTAAGCAATTTACTTTTTGAAAAATATTTTCAACAATAGCATATTTACGCTTCAGATTCATGTAAAATGGATAAAAATTGTCTAATGGTATCAAATCAAGAAAGTGAGAACTCACGTGAAGAACGACTATCACAACCAGAAATCACACTTTTTGAATGACATTCTTCAGATGTCTTTTTTTTTCAATCATGATTACCTATCCCTGCTTTTATTTAAATAAAATAATTGACAAAAGAATGAGATTAATATTTTACATATTATTCTTTGTCATTTGGGGTGCTTTACTATATGATGCGTAATATAAAGAGTGTGAAATTCAAAAGAAAATTTACATTCTACTATTTGATGTGATACATACAAAAAGAAATATCGTGCTTAGGCGTTGAAATAACACATTTTTTTTGTTGAATAACTAATCAATGGCATTTAAAAATCATCAGAGGTCACTAGTTTACATTTTTCATGATATTTGTAAAATACCGAAATAATTGTTGCTTTAGTTTATTGGATTGTTAGTCGATGTGTATCACTTATCATTCCCCGTTCTCTTTCTTCTAATTTATAATCATTTTTCTTATGTTCCGCCTAGAATAATTTTCGAGGTTAAGTCATTGTTTGTGTTTTTTTTAGATAAGACAATTATGCCTTTGCATCTTTGACATATTCTCGATCGATTATCATTACCATCATTTCGAGATTATACATTAATTAGTTACTTCTTTATTATTTAGTAATATACTTTATTTTCGTCATTTAATTAAAATGAACCCCAATTAAATCCTACAAAAATCCATCATTAAAATTTTATTCATATCTAGAATATTTTTATCTGGTTTTGTCCTTCTAACATATAGAAAAATTCCACTATTGACTACAAATGTGATCAAAGCAGCCCATCTTAAAAAAAGAGAAGATTTTTCGAGATATATTTTTGCATTGTCAAAATCTTACCGATTGATAATAAACATCACTGCAACACATAATAATGCTCTAGTTAATGCCAATCATTTATTATAATATCGAAAATCTGATCTCCATCCATTAGCTTTTGCTAATGATACATTGAAACATGCATAATTAACTAATGCATAAGTCATTAGAAAAAGAAAATTGGAAAATATCGGTTCAATTACATTTAATTCACCTTTGAAAGATATAAAAATTTATTTGAAAAACAAGAAATATTCAAAAAATTTTCTTTATCAATAGCAGTAAATGAAACAGCAACGAAATATGTTAGGACATATGTTCGTATTGATTCATTAGATTTTCCATTATCAACAGCAAAATATTTTAAACGAGAATAAATCATATCTCGACAAACAGCTTGAAAGATTTTCGATGCACCAACAAGTCTTACTAAAATAGATCTCATAGGTATAACTATATAAATTCACCATCCTACCTAAAGTAATTGATAATGTTACAGCAAATATTCCAGTTAAGAACAAACAAACAAAGTTAAATCAACAGATAGATAATGTTAACAAACCAGTTATAATTGGTTCAAAGGCTGATATCATTTTCATTATTTGATAATTATATACCAAACGAGCTCTTTCAAAATCATATCATCACCTAGGAATAGGAGTAGATTGCGATAGTCTAATCGATAGCGACTACAACTAGCCTCAAGCTTAGCCGGAAGCTGAAAACCTTTAACTTTTTTTCGTTTTTGAAAGCTCCAAGACAATCATTCCAATCGGCAGAAACGGCTGTAAACCAATGTGTCACAACACATTATATGTCATCATATTCCATTATCCTATTCTACGAGCCATTTTTTTCCAACCTGAGACATATGCGAAAGTCTCAAGCTTCGGCGGTGGCTAGAATTTTTTAATAAATCTTTTTTTTTTTTTTAATTTTCTGAAATAAGCTCTAAAAGGAGTGTTAAAGGTATGTAGGAGTAGAAACGTGGGCCTACCTTTCCGTGCACAGTAGATAGTCAGGCAACAATGTTTTGCTTGATTTCTAATTTTCTCACTGATTTGGCGCAGAAAAACATTGAATAGTATCTCATATGGTAGTACATTGGACGCGCTTTGACATAACTTCTACTGTGTCCAATCCTCATAGACATTTTAGCAAAAATTTATCGCATACGTGACAACATTCACAACAAAAGTAAGCAACTCAATCATGTTTCACATTTGAACCTCGCAGAAATCGTGCTAATAGCTTTTTTTAGATTCAAGAAAGGACAGCAATAAATTTGCTAGCTAATTGACTCTTTCTGTAAACTAAAGAAGAACATTACTCACTATATATGTTTTCAAAATTGATTAACGTATTTATATAATGATTCAATTATATACAGGATCAACGAAGGATTGGTTGTTATTTGGTACATGTCTATTCATATGAACTATCCTCTAATAAGGAAAAAGAATCTCGAGATATTACGCTGCATCTGTTCTACCACAGAAAACTTATATTAGCTAAGAAGCTTTCAGTCCAATCCCTGCAGGATTAAAAACGTAAAACACGATGTAGCTTGTTATGTTGCACGTAAATGAAGGAATTCAGCATATCAATTGTGGCATACAACGATAGAAAATGGTTTAATTTTTGTTGTATTTTAATTTTCACATAGAGAAAACATTAAGAAAAATATATAATAAATACAACTAAGAAAAAAAAAAGACAAGATTATTATCCTTGACAGCCATTTGTAGTAGTTGTATTTTTTGGTGATGTTGGTGAAATTTTTCGATCACCGGATATAGCATCCATACGAATATCATCATTATATACTTGCAGGGGTCGCAGCGGCCTATGTCTGAAAATCAGGAAAATAGTCAGGACACATTTTAGAAAAAAATCAGGAATTTCGATTAAAATCAGGACATTTTAAATCTTATCATAGTGCTATTGTTCAGGATGAAAGCTGTACAAAAGTATGTCAATCAATGATAGTTCATTGAAATTACTAGATTGTATTTCGCCGAATACATGCTTCGAGTTCTGCCTTTTCCTTGTCGTTCGTTATCTCTAATTATGCATTGTGTATACGTTTTCTTTTCCTCAGACACGTGGCTTACGGAAGGAGGCATCCTTTACTATTGGAGTCTCATTTGTTTCTAGTCGAAATCACATTTTTATCAGGAAAATAGACGTAAAAAGAAATAAGCAAAATCCGCAGTTTTTAAGGTTCTATAACCATCTTTTCGGCACTCAAACCATTTCCCTGCATCATGATTCCTTCCCCTCTCTGCTACTTTTCCTCTTCTTCACATCCCTGTTCTTCGCACATATAAAACAACCGTGTTATAGATAAACGAATAAAAGCGTTTACAAGAAAACTTTAGTAAATCGACTAAAATGTTAAAATAAGGAAATACAAGATTTAATGCAGCTACGCACGGTCGTAAACTGTATGATATAAATATCGCCGAAGTACTGGTGATAATAACTAATGATAAAATAGATGCTTTCAAAAACCAATTAATTCGAAATAATCAATTCTTAAAGTGATTACAAGAAAAAAATAGACAAAATAAAAATTCGAGTACCATATTCCTTTTTATAGAAAATATTCAACAAATATTTCCATAAAATTTTTAAGAAACGTTGAGTATAACAAAACAAAAACATCAAAATGATATATATGAGGTCCTACAGAGATAAATCTTGAAAAATCAGGACAAAATCAGGATTTTCAGTCAAAAGCAGGAAAATCAGGACACCTTAAAAAAATCAGGAAAGTACACACGCTGCAAGGCCTGCACCACGCATAACAAGCCCATACCTAGAAACTCGTGAGAAATTATAGCTGACAATTTATGATTCAATAATCTAGATCCTAAACTTTCACACTCACTTCGTGCATTCAAAGTACGGTATTCTCTTAAAGAATATCGATTTATTAAATTAGATGAGAAGATCGATGTAAATTGTGAACTAAATCAATATTTCGCTTTTTTATTGGAACAACATGATAATCTCTTTCATATTATTCGTCCTATAAGACTTATAATATTATCAGTTTTCAATTTCAACCAAAAGTACTTGGTAAAACTAACATAAAATATCTTGATACATTCAATAATGAAGTGTTGCTAACATGTAACTATTAGGAATTGCAGTACCATCTATATTTCATAAGAAATTATTTATTCGAGTAACTATTATTAATCATAGAATTATACTTGGAGATTTTCACATTTTTTCTTGATAGTCTCTTCAAAATGTATCGAATTAGAATTCAAACATATTCTAACCAAAGTAATTGAATAAACACTTATTCTCTCTGTTTTTCAATAACAATTAAATTAACGTCAATGAGAAACACAAAATTTGACTTTATGTTATAGCATCTATTCTAAAACTTTGAGATTGATTTTCCCAAATGGGTAGAGAAATATTTTTTCACTAACTTTATTTAAGTATCAACTGAATCTTGCAAATGTTCCTATGCACATTATAAAATAAATAAATGGAAGAAATATAAATTTTTATTGTATGCCATATTAGAAAAAGGAGAAAAATAAATAATAACATTTATTCGCTAACAATTTGTTGGACTATAGAACAATTCATTATTGTTTATATTGACGACATTGGTCAAATAGAATAGATGAGTATATATGCATATAAATATTAACATTCATAAATTGAAAAGAATAGATCAATAAAAATAAACATGGAATATTCATGCATTGAATTAAATAATTTACCTGATGAAATCCTTATGATTATTTTTCAAAAATTGAACAATATTGACGTACTTTATTCTTTCCATGATGTCAATCAGCGACTAAATAAAATAATTCATGATCGAATTTTTACAAGTCATTTAACTTTTGTCAAATGGTCATTAGATAATTTTATCGATCTATTTTCTTCTGATATAATGCTTAATCGATTTTGTTTACAAATTTTACCTTCGATTCATGATAAAATTCAATGGCTTGATATTGATTTATCATCTATAAAACATGTTTTACGTGTTGCCAATTATCCTAACTTAGATAGTCTTGGTCTTTATAATATTGATGAAGAGTCAGCTCAATGTCTTTTTAATGGTAAGAAATTTTTATTTGAATTCTTTTTATTCTGAAACAAATGAAAGATTTATCAAAAGACTATATCATTGAATATATTGATTATGTATGTTTAGATGAAACTCTTTCGAGTATTTTCAAAAATCAGATAACAAAACTTTTTTTTACAATATATAATAATAATGATGATAATCATGAACGGATGACACTGTCAGTGGCACACGCATGTGATAAAATCTTCACTGTTTTCACTCGTCTGACAACTTTTGTATTATATGAATCATCGTATAAAAATCGTGTTCGATTAATTTTTGATAATCCATTTTTTCCTAATGTTCGTTCTTCAACTCTTTTGAAATTAATTATCAACGTACATTCTTTTGATGATTGTCTTTATCTTCTCGATGGTCGTTTTGATCAACTTCACACGCTTCATGTCGATTTGGCTAATACTTGGTGTCCAGATGAAATTATAAATCAAGTTAGTTTTACAAGAAAAAAATTCAATGTTGTCAAGCAATAAAACATTTTACTTTTTAGGGTGATTTACCAAATCTAAAGTGTTTTTCTCTTTCCTGTGAACTCGCAACATATCATTATAATGAAGCCATTCTTCCACTTCTCTATCGAATGTCAAATCTAGAAGAACTCGGTTTATATCTTACGGTGTATGTTGATGAAACATTTATTGATGGAAGTCATCTCAAGACAAAAGTTATTAAACAAATGCCACGATTAAATCAATTTACATTTTTTATTAGATCATTCATCGATATTTTTAATGAAATGAGTTTTCCATCAACAGAAGATATTCAACAAACATTCATTGACTTTCCATTTAATAAAATAATTTCTTATGTTGATTATTTTGCAGATAGAAAACAAAGTCAATGTTATATTTATTCATATCCATTTCTAATGCGATATTATACCGGCATTACAAATAATTTTCCAGGTGGATTATTTGAACATGTTCGTGTGGTGTCATTATTTGATGAACAACCTTTTGAACATGAATTTTTTCTTCGAATTCAGAAATCATTTCCGTTTATAGAAGAATTATCTTTAGTTAATTATAAACCACAAAACCGAAAACAATCTTATGAATCAAACAGTAATAATCAAACTTTATCGCTTATTGAATATTTATTTCTTACGAAACTTTATATTAGCGATGTTCATGATGATTATATAGAACAATTTCTTTTTCATACTAAAACATATTTGCAAAATAATATTATTGTTTATGTTGATTATGAATCTTTACAACGAGTAACACACAATTTTACAAGAGATTCTACTCGAACTAATTGTGCCAAAATAAGTAAATTACATTTTTGGGGTCAAGAAAAACCTTCCAATTCTTTAGAAGAATATTTTCCTTATGCAAAAATATGTTATGGATTATATTGAAAGACAAAAAAAAATAAAATATTAAATAAAAGAAAAACAAAATAAAATAAGAGAAAAATGTTTTTTGTTGTAAAAAAATAAAATTTCTATAAAGATGAAAATAATCATGTGTTATAAATAGAAATCTGAGAAATAAATTAATTCTGTTTAAACATATGTATATGTATTATGTATTGCGTTAAAACATAAGTTCTGTAAATTTTTGTGCAGCATCAAAGATAACTATAACTTATAGGTCAATTTTTGACCACATAATGGGATATACGTAGGTTTGTAGAGGAAGGGTGTGGGTGCGGGTGTCTAGGTGTCGTCTTTTCCCTTACACCCACACCCACACCCTCCTATGAACTGTTCAACAATGAAAAGATGTTTTCCTATAAATTATTTGATACACTGCTAGTTATTGTCAAATAATCAATAATTTTAACTTACTAATTCAGATCAATCTTTAGCTAATTGACAAAAAAGAAGTGCAAAAGCTAAAATTGAAAAGCATGATATCGATAGAACAAGTTTATTTAAATTTTCTAAACTGAGTACATTAAAAAGAAAAGAAAATTTATAAAATGCATAATTCCAAAATTTATCTTTGATACGTTGTAATTCAACTAAACGTAATTCACCAAATATTAATTCTTCTAAATATTTCGCAAATAAACCAAATGAACAATAAATTGCATTAATAAATATTAAAAAAAACAAAGATATATTTCGTTTTTTTCGAATAAAAAATATTCTTTCTTCTTTTTTTTTTTTTTTCTTCCTAATAAAGATAATGATTGAGATATAATCATGGAAAAAGTGTTTGAATATATGCAAATGAAAATGATTTTGCATTCGAGAAGAATATACTTTCATTAATCATTCTTTCATTCACTGGGTGACGCAAATGAATTACAAAGTAATTCAAAAAAAAATGAATTACAAAATAATTCAAAATTTTTATATTATACATATATTTATAGAAGTATATATATAATTATAATAAGTTTATTAATATCTATCAGGGTCTACCAGGATCTCGATGTGGGTGCCGCGAAACGACTTAGATCACATCTCTCTCGATGTGGGTACCGCGAAACCCTGGTAGACCTTAGTAGACTCTGGTAGACTCTGGTAGACCCTGGTAGATATTAATAAACTTATTATTATTATATATGTACTTCTATAAATATATATATATAATATAAAAATTTTGAATTATTTTGTAATTCATTTGCGTCATGAACTCAAAAAAACACATAAACAATGACTTAACCTCGAAAATTATTCTAGGCGAAATATAAGAAAAATGATTATAAATTAGAAGAAAGAGAACGGAGAATGATAAGTGATACACATCGACTAACAATCCAATAAACTAAAGCGACAATTACTTCGGTATTTTACAAACGTACATTACTGCTTGAAGATGATTGGCTCATTTTGTCATTGAACTCTAAATCATGGATACCACGTGCATTGAATTGCATTGCATTCTTTAATCTTCTCCCATTGCCTTTCTTCTTTTTTTTTTTTGGTTAAATCGAACGAGGCAATCGGGAAGGTTGTATAGGTTATTTGTCTTTTGTATTTTTTCGTATCCAGATTTTCATGTCTCGTCAATATTCAAATCGTCCATTTATTCCACCTCGTCGTCGTGTATCACTTCAAATGTGTGATTTTGTTTCTTATCCACCATCACAAACTAGTGATACATCATCGGATAGTTCATCATGGCCATTAACAGATCCATTATCTTGTATACATCCACAACCAACATCTTCTGAACCTTCTTCTCATTCAACACAAAATAGTGTGTCCTATTTTCAATATCCATCTCATCAAAATACAGTCGAATCTCCATTATTTGTATCCAATCAAGAAACGCATAATAATAATAACAATAATAATAATAATCAAGCTGTTCATCATTTAAATGAATCACATCCATCATATCATTTCCATTATTTGCAATCAAATGAACGAGAACAACCAAGATCTTCATTATCTTCAAGTCTTGTAGCAGTAAAAAAAAATTCTTTCTTTTTTTTTTTAATGATTTATTTTTATAATTAATCTAAACTAGGCTGCAGCAACAACAACTGCTACTGCTCCACATCATCGACATTATCATTTAGAAAATCCACCTGCAGCTGCATTTACACGACATCCACCATGGCTTGATGATGAATCAGAAGATAATAATGGAACAATACAACGTTCATCTCGTAATAATAATCATACGAAACGACAACGATCATCGGCTGTTAGTACACCTACTTCTCAATCTTCACAATCTTATCATCATCCTGAACGAAAACGTTCGAGACATGAAGCAATTAATGATGAACATCCACGAACAAATTATCGTTCACAAGAGAATGTATTACAGCAGCAACAACAACAACAACAGAATCGACCATCTAGTCATCATCAACATCATTATCAACCGTATCCGTGAGTAATATTTATTGAATATTTTAATATAAAATTAATTTTCTTATTTTAATTATATAGAAATTATCGACATGTACAACCACAACCAACTCCTTTGCCTCGAGCATCATATAATGATAATGTTCCTTCTATTTCTCGATCATTTGATCAACGTGCACAAGCAATACAACGAAATCGAAATGAACATTCACAAGATATCAATAATACAAATGTACATTATGGATCACATCATCATACTTTACAACCACCATTACCAATACAACCTCGTAATACTTACCATACTTCTAATCATCGATCATTGTTACTAGAATCACCACCTGTTACTTTACCTCATCGTCAACCAATTCCTCCTCCTCCTCCTCCTCCTCCTCGTTCTTCTTATACACAACAACAAAATCATCATCATCAACGAAGTGGAATAACAATCGAACCAGTACCACAGCGTGCTCCTCTTCTTCATCGAACATCAATGACTGCTCATTTACATCAACGACCTTCGACTTCTTTTCTTACTGATTTACTTCAGTACGTCATCTATACATCTTTTGAATATAAATTAAATGTTTATTAACATTTTAGTCGTGTTATTGATGCACATGCTGCGTCATACAATGATAATCATGTTCATTATCATCATCATCACCATCATCATCCACCATCGGCATCAATTGATTTAATTGCTTATGCATGGATGTCTCCCGGTCATGATATTTTTTCATTACCAGCTGCATTTAGTATTCAATTTGGTGTAAGTTTTCATAGATCTATTTCGTATATGATGAATTTATTTTTTCTAATGTAGGATTTCTTCGATTTGACTATGCCTGATGAAACACCTGTAGTCGGTTTAACTGATAGTGAACTTGAACGATTACCAACAATGATTTTTACAAAATCTTGTACAAATATTGAAGACGATGATAAATGTGCTGTATGTTTGAGTGAATATATAGGTGGTGAAAAACTCAAACGTTTACGATGCAAACACTTCTTTCATAGTGAATGCATTGATCCATGGCTTAAGGTAACATTTTCATTCATTTTTTTTTTTCTTTTGGCAATACAATTTCTTTTTTTTTGTTTTTTTTAGACATCAACTCGGTGTCCTATCTGTCGAGGTGAACAGACAAGTTGAATAGAAGTTTTTTTTGTCCTCTTTCCGGATTTCGTGTATACATTTTCTTTATCTTCAGATAACCTTTACCTAGCGTCCTTTCGGCGCCAGATACGCACGAATTGCATTATTGTTGTTGTTCGTTTTTTTTCCACTGTTTGTCTGCTTGTTTTTTTTTGAACTGTGAACATATTCTTCTACATATTTTTGTTGTCATGTGTGTATACATATGCAAGGATTTACTTTTTTTTTTTCTAATGTGTGTCTATTGTTGCCTTTTTGTTTGTGCGACAGTCTTTCAAACTTTACAAGAGGAAAAAAAATAATATAACACACCAATTAAGAGAAAAAGTAATGTTTTTTTTTCCTTTTATTTTGTTTTTTTGACTTCTCACTTTTTTTTTTCTTGTCTTATATATGAAAAAGTATCATTATAGAATAAATCAACTAGAAGGAAAAAAGAAAACAATTGTATTTAAAACTTAATATAATATTGAAATGATGATCATAAATATTTACACACGATTTTACTGAATCAAAGAATGTATTTAAAAAAGTGACTATAAAATATTATTCTGATGATGAAGGTTTATAGCGAGTGCACCAGATGGTAACCAATAATATCTAATTATAGTGAAATATAGCTTTTGTTCCACATGAGAGATGCAAACAGGAGCGATTATTTTGAAAAGCAAACTCAATCGAGTATTAGGAGCTGAAGCTCTTCAATCATTGTATTGCCTATACATTGACGTCTTTGTATCAAAGAAATTTTTCAGATACTAAATGTTTCCACATCATGTAGTTTTCAGAGTTGTACATTTAAATGTACTAGGTTGTTAAAACTTAAACACACTGTTTTATGACCCTTCATTTTCATTGATTTGTAAAAGTAGGTAACTAGACAATTGAATCAATTAGATTCCAGTCGAGTATCTACTGTTCGTGTCAAACTTTGATGTGCTCCTCTGGTTTTTGAATAGCTTTCAATTGGAACATCATAAGGATCTGTAGTTTTCATCATTCAGGTAAGAAGATTCGAAGCCAGTGCAGTATATTGAAATTTCATTGGTCAACAATCGATAAATCAGGGCAATTCTTGGTGGAGATTTTCGAAAACGATGTTCCGAAGCCATTTTTCTTTCGATTTGAACTTTTAATAGAAATAATCAATAGAAAAATTCTTCTCATTCGATCTACATAAACTAACATTTTTAGCTTGTTCGGCTAGGGATAATTCACCATATTGATATACTACTGTCTAGCTGCTTTTCCAGTTGATCACAGATCAATTGGATGATATTGAGAGTCTTGTGAAAAAGTTTATAAATCTCCAGCGGAACAAGCAAACAATGTCAGCTTGATATAGACGGAAAGAGAAGAATTTTTTTTATCGATCATTTCTATTAAAACTTTGAATTGAGAGGAAAATCTCCATCAAGAATTCACCTGATGATTGGATCGGTGACCAGTCAAAGTTCGATATCCTTCGCTGACCCCGGATTTTCGCTCGTCAATAGTAAAAACCACAGATCTCTTTGATATTCGTGTCGAAATTTATTCAAAAAACTGTGAAACACGTTATATTTCAACATGGTTTTCGAAGTGAATGAATGTGGATAATTATCGATATATTTATTGCATTTTCTTAGAAACGTTTCATACAGTTCATATAATTTTTCAGGTTCTCTTAAAAATCAGAGAATCACTAGAGATTTCGTATTTTTCCGGAAGATCCTCAAATAAAATGTACTTTAGTAATCGCAAATGCTCCATATTTTATGTGCTGATTAGTGGCGTAACCAGATGGGGATTAGAGGGGGCTCAGCCCCCTCTAGAAGACGTTGAGCCCCCCTACGAATGGTTGACTTCTGTTAAAAAATACCATGAGCCCCCTCTAAAGACTTGAGTGGAAGAGTCTTCGCCCTCTCTACGAACTGGATCAGGGGAGCTGAGCCCCCTCTATCACGTTTTTCTGGTTACGCCCCTAGTGCTGATCATTCTTTTAAGTGTTTTGTACTCTGATATTTACGGATGTTCGATTTTGTCCTGTTCAAAGTAATACTCTTTATTGCTGTGACAAGACAAATTGATATATCCTATTGTAAAACAGAAAAATATAATTGCCGAGGATCTATATGTCAAGAGGATTGTCGTGGATAAATATAGTAATAGAATGATCACCTAATTATATGACAAGCCAAATCTTTAGAGGATGTTCAAAAGAACATCGTACAATACACATCATAGATAAAACTATATCATTAATGTGACATATTGAGATTCTCATTTTATAAGTATGGTCTCAATATACATATGTTAGTGACCTTCATTATTCTTAAATTAACTTTTACTTTGGATATAAATTATATGTACACGACCACGTATCAAAGAGATGTTCAGGCACTAACTGTAGTTTTTATTTCTTTTATTATTGATAACAATAGCAAATTAGAAAGAGTTTCGAATAATCAATTTTTTTTAATTAACTAAAATCAAAACTATTCATATCCCATACAATAGACTTTTTTCTTGTTACCTCATTTCGCTAACGACGATCATTTTAGTCTTTTATGTTTAAATATTTCGCTTCATAAATAGCAAATTAATAATTTTATCTATATCTAGATGTCTTCGCTATTCGATTATAGATAATATTGTTTATATCAGAAAAGAATTGAATGGTACTTCTTCAGATACGTCTTTTCTATTCGTGTTAAAATAAACCATACGCAACGGAGCCACAAGACTTGAATAGGCTCAAACACTTTTCTGATTTCATCAGATTGATAGATTTGAGCAGCGTATGATATTTTTTATAGAAAGGTTTATATCTTTGACCTTTTCCGGCGGATAACTGTAACAAATTCTTAATCAAGCACACGTAGAAAACGCTTTTGAAAAAATATCGCGTTTCATGCAAGTAAATATTGGATCGTACATTGGCAATGAATTGAAATGAGAATCCTTCATTACAAGTGAAGAAGAACTATACGAAAAGTATGAGCTAGATTAACTAGAACCTGCTAAAACTCGTCTTCGCCATCAGTGACTAAGATCATTTGTCTATTACACATTTTCAATGATGAAGAAGCTCACAATCCAACATCTTCTTTCGTAAAACTATCCTGCTTCGCCATTAATCTTTTTCTCGATAAAGCTGATCAGAATCTCTTCTTCTGAAGATCGCATTTCGATGAATATAAACGTTCGCATCTTTTTTTGAGGCAAGTTACGAATTTCCTTTTCATTCGTATTGCTGTTGAATATTGCAAAATATACGATCTCTAACAAAAAAGAGTCACTAAGTGTATTTCATCTGAATGAATGACATTGAAGAACTTGTCTTCTCTTATTTTTAACTTTCCACTGAGGATCTTATTAAAAAAACTCTTAAGTCTATTTTAGAATCAAAACATTTTGTCACCAATACAAGAAACGACGTCTTTAACAAAGCGAACGTGTTATATATCATTTTGTCATGAAGAAAAATGGAAGTTAGAACATGAAAAAGATTGTTTAGCAAGATATCAGTTTCAAGAATATATATTAGAAAGATTAATCGTTTTATTTTATTCGAAAAAACACAAGATAAATATGACAGAACATCTAGTATTATATACAAAAATTACTTGTTCAAGTGGATTCAAGTTTATTACGAGCAACACATTTACGAACAAGTCTTCGAGTTTGACTAATATCAAGTAATTCATTATCTTTTAAGCTTATATTTAGTGTTTCAGTTTTTATTTTCACTGTTTTGGCTACAAGTGGTGCTGGAGGAGCTGCTATCTATAATAAAAATTTGTTTTGTAGTATTAAAAAAAAGTATCAAATCTATCAACTTACGTCCATTTCTTCACTATCAGTTGATTCTTCCTCATCTTTGTCTTTATTGAATGCAAGTCGAGCACTTCGTCGGCTACCACGACTTGGTACTACTCGTCGAGCTTTTTTCTTGATGATAGGTTTTACTGCAGGTGCTGCTTTTCGTTTTATTGGTTTTTTTTTACTATAAACAAAGCATAAATTATGAAAAATTTCATAGTGCAACTCTATATCATACATGGCAAGTGTGCGGATGCGGGTACGTGTACTTCTTTTTTTGATAATTGGCACAGAAGGAACTGCTGCAACTTTTGTACCGCAACCGAATAATCCTCCAAATGTCGACGTGACAGAAGTTGCAACCGATCCGGTGTAGCGTACCCACTTTTCTCGAACTTCTTTTAGAGTTTTTAGCGTCGAAAGATGTTCAGCAGCAGGTGTTAGTGCTGGAATACTTGTTGTTCCATCTTGATTGTTTAATTTCAAACGGCGTGCTTTGGCACCTGTAAGGTATGATAAAAATATAAATTCACTGTTTCAAAGAGCATATCTCTATTGACATACCACCATCTTGCATCACTTCATGTATGCGACGAGTAAGTTCAGTTTCATCCACTGGACCACCACGCAAAGCAGCTTCACGCATAACTTCTTCATGTACTTGTGCTATTAACTTCTCTAAAGAAATCTCTTCTTTTGCTGAACCAACAATGACTGATGCTAAATTGCCACAATTAGCCAATGGTATGTATTGACCACCAGTTTTGAAAGCAAGTGCCATAAAAAAATCACGATATGGTGTCGCTGTTGGTTCACAACCAATTGTATATAAAGTTACACTACGTTCGGCAAGTAAAGCAGCACATTCGACTGGATCATGTCCTGACGGATCACCTGAACAAAAACAAACGAAAAATTTTCGAAACAACTAGATGAAGTATTTCCTACCGTCTGGCCAATTACCACTATGGGCCTCTAAGCCATGAGGAGGTGCATCAGCAATAAGAAGAGCAATTTTAACTGCAGTTTTTCGCCATGTTAAAGTATAAACAGCTGCATGTAATGCAGGTGCTATGGCTTCAGGAAAATCTCCACCTAAATTATAATTGAATAAAATATTTCATATCAAAAGTAATAAATCAAACCTCCATAAGCAGCAGCTGCATCAATGCATTTTTTTGCTTCTTCCGCATCATCAGTGAAATTATGAACTTTAATAACAAATGTATGATCTTGAGGAGGATGGTCACGATAAAGAATCAAGGCAACATTCAATAAACATCGTTCGCTTAAAATAATATCTTGAATAATTTTTCGCATATTCTACAAAATAGATATGTTTTTAGACATTTGATATTTCTCAGAAGTGTACACACCTCTTGAGCTGATCGAATGTATGATGACATACTAGATGTAGCATCAATAATAAAAGCTAAATCCAATTCTGTTGGCATACTCGTTGTAGTCATATCAGTTGTCGTAGACGAAGATGTCTCAGCCATAATTTCTAGATATAAAGATTCATTTGATTTCTTGTCTGAATAATAATATGTCGACTTTTTTATAGTCTTACCGAACAATGGAATAAACTTTTATTTTGGTTATATTCAATTCGATCCCTATTTATACACAATAGTAATGAACATGCAAATCTACTCTCCTTATATACAAAACACATTGGCTGTCAAAACGTTATTACATGTTGATTGAGCAATAACTATTCCTATCGTTGTTCTTTTTTCACGTTGGCGTAAAATTTTTAAAACATAGTTTTACCAATGCGTTAAGTCAAATTTTTTTTATTTAATTTCATAAAAAAAAAAAAGAGAAATATTACCTATTTCTAATGAGCATTCATACACATTTATCTTCTTAACATATTGTACAAAACATAATCGATCAATTGATCGATTAGAAAAAAAAAAGAAAAGAAAAACTCAGATCGATTGGCAAGTTAAAAATGGAATGTATAATAATAGTAGCAAATAAGCGAAATAAAAAAAATTTACAAATACAAAAAAAAAAAACAAAAACATATGATTCTAAACAATGGAATGTGTAATAAATGATATAAAACATAAGAATAAAACAAATATATGATTTATCAAAGATCGTATAGCTGTATTACATCCATCACGTTCATCACAGAAACAATATACAGGTTCATCTGTTTGAACATACCAAGGTCGATAAGCTAGACCCTACAATAAAAATAAAAAATTATTTTTGTTTTAAATAAATATTTAAAAGAATACATACAATATATTTATCACTTGCTGCCCAACATCCATTCTCTCGTACAGTTGGCATCTCAGGTCGAAGAGCTTCAATTTGATTAATACAACCACGTATATAGTTAATTTCACCTGAAGAAATCGAAGAAAGAAAATAAAAATGTTTCTTTCTTTCTTTTCTTTTTTTTGTTTTATAATAATGAAAAACTTGATTATTTACCATCAGGTGAACGTTCAATTATTTTAACACATTTACTTCCACCTGGTGCAATACAACGTTTCCAACGCATTAATATCCAATCAAGTCTTTCACCACAACCAGGTCGATTACTATGACATTCATAACAATCCAAATAAAATCCATTTAAATAATCAAATAATTGTGGAACTTCAGGCTGAACTTAAAAATAAAATAAATTTAATTTTTGTGTTTTTTGAAATATTAAAAAAAGAAACAGTTTTCTCTTTACTTTTATCCACAAAAATTGATAAAAAAAGTAAAATAAAAATTGTTGAACTCCACATTTTTATCAAATGATAGTTGAAGGTGAGTAAAAAGAAAAAAACTTTTAGCACGCCACTTATCAAATCACACAACGCGACTCTCAACGACATTAATCAATCTTGTTATTGGCTATTCATTTCTACAAATCAAATAATATCATCTACAAAAAAAACAAATAACTTGTCGTCGTCGTCCTCCTTTCAAAGAAAGTCAACAAATGGATTCACGAGCACGTTCTACACATAGTACAACTCAGGACGGACTTGCACCAAGTTCTATGAAGGTCTATTTAAAAAAAAACAAAAAACTTCATCTATTCTTCCAATATTATTTTTTATTTATTTTTAATAGTCCTTAGGTGAAAATAAATTACGTGCATTTGAACAAGGAACTGTTGTTATAAATACTCGAACAAGTTTATCACGTAAAGAACGTGAAGATCTTCGTGCTAAAATTGAAGCAAGTGAAACGGAAGAAGCATTAAAAGAATTTGTTGCTGCTTTTGAAGAACCAACCAATAAAACAAATAAAACATTTATTAAAGGTGGAGTTTTTAATCCGGGTTCACATGAAGAAACTCCAAGTGATCGAGGAAAAACATATCGAGCATCATATCATAGAAAAGATGATTCAGCACATAATAAAGATAATTTACAACAACAAATAGCTAAAAGTAATGCAGCAGCAGCGGCTGCTGCAGCTGCTCTATCAGCAGTACCTGAAAATAAACCTGTAAGTTCTCTATATACATATATATAATTAAATATAATAAAAAATATTAAATTTAGAAATTAAAAACTGAACGTGACAAACGTAAATCAAATTTAGAATCATTTAAAGAAGAACTTAAAAGGTAAAATAAAAGAAACAAAAAAAAAAAATTTTCTATAACTTTTTATTTATTTAAGAATTCAAGAAGAACGTGATCGTCGTCATATACAAAAACAACGGGAAAAAGAAGGAAAATCAACAAGATTTCAACCACCACCATCTACTTCTTTACATTCTGATCTTGCTCGTAAGAAAAGAAATTTTTTGTTTTTTCGTTCAATTCTCATCTAATTTTCTTTCTTTAGTCGATTCGGATTCACTTCATCATGAAAGTCGTCATTCAAGTGATGATCCAAATACAACAAATTTATTTATTAATACAATACCACGTTCGGTAAAAGAAAGAAAATTTTTTTTTTCGGGTTGTTTTCATATATATATATATATATATATATAATTCTTTAGATGAATGAAACGAGTATAATGGAATTATTTGGTCGTTATGGACCATTGGCAAGTGTTAAAATAATGTATCCAAGAAGTGATGAAGAAAAATCTCGTGGAACTAATTGTGGTTTTGTTGCATATATGAGTCGAAAAGATGCTGAAAGAGCTATGCATGAATTAAATGGCACACAATTAGATTCCATATCTGTTCGAATGAGTTGGGGAAGACGTAAATAAATTAAAATAAAATTTAGAAAAAAAAAAAAAAGAAGTCATTTATTCATTTTTTTTTGTATAGCTGTTCATATTCCACCACAACCGGTTTATATTCCACCTACAATGAGAGAATTAATTATGCCACCACCACCATCTGGTTTACCATTTAATGCTCAACCAAATACAAAATATCGTTCATCAAAATTACAAGATATACTTGGTCGAGAAAAAGAACTTACAAAAGTAAATCTAATTTACATATAAAGATGACAAAAAAGAAAACACAAATGAAGTATTCATTTATTTTAGCTTCTTGAACATTCTACTGTTCGAGTGATTATTCCTCATGATAGGTTTGTATAAATTAATATTTATTTGAATTTTATTATTATTATTTGTGTTTGTTTTTGAAGAGTTTTATTATGTTTAATTCATCGAATGATTGAATTTGTTATCCGTGAAGGTCCTATGTTTGAAGCAATTATAATGCGTCGTGAAATGAATAATCCACAATTCCGGTAAGGATAACTTATTAATCTTCATGTCATTATCTAGGATTTACATGGATCTCAGACATTTTCATTTTTACGTCTCTATGTCCATAGTATTAAATATGCTTCAAGTAAGGATTGTAGAATACATAGATGACATTAGATGATCCAATTTAATCACTATTAATATGATATAGTAGTTCAAAGTAATGTGGTTAATATGCTAATTTGAATTTAATAGGAACATTGTCATGCATTACTCTCACAGTCATGCCAAAATCATTTGTGACTCATACTGAGAAAAGATTAATAAACATTACTCACGAGGGTATTTCTTCAGCTATGTAATTATTTTTCGACCAGGACTATGTTCATTTGATGAGTACTAATGAGCAATAGAAAAGTCTAGAATGGTTTGGATTATTGAGTCTTTGTTCTTGAGATATCGAAAGTTTACTGAGTTTTTAAACAAAAAGTTGTAGTTCCTCTCAGATCCAACTTTTAGCTTTTCTAGTATTTCATTGTCGAAGATGCAAACTGTATGAACAAAATATGCTTTTACACATGAGAGAATTCCAAATATAGAATATCTCAGAATAGGCAATACTAGAAAAGCTACAAGTTGTCTGATGAATTAATCTTATTGATAAATTTGTTCGCTATCTTAAGAATGAAGCTTCAGAAAACTAAACTATTCCAGACTTTCCTATTACTCGTTAGTACTCATCAATGAACATCGTCTCGGTCAAAAATCACTTTGAAAGCTGAAGAAGTTCTCTCATTAGATAAATCGTTCTACAGTTGCTATGTATTCCAAGGATAATTTAATCTAAGATCTGTACAGGTCTCAAGCAGAAACTAGGTCCTTATTTCATAGATAGTAATATGATGATTAAACAAATTTAAATCTTATGTTTATTTTCTACAGGTTTTTATTTGATAATCAAAGTCCTGCTCATACATATTATCGATGGAAACTTTATTCAATTCTTCAAGTAAAATTATATTTTATTTTGTAACAAAAATTAAAAGTATCATGTTTTTCTTTTTTCTTGTATTGTTATTAATTAGGGTGATAGTGTAACAAGCTGGCGAACAGAAGCATTTCGTTTATTTAAAGACAGTAGTTTATGGTTACCGCCACAACCTCAACAATTTACATCCGGTATGCCAGATGAAGTATTTGAAAAAGTTAAACGAGAAACAGAAAATGAAGTAAATGTCAAAGTTGAAGAGAATGTACCAGTGATTAATCAAAGTAATACTAGCAATAAACGAGGTCGACTTAGTCATCGGTAAAATACGAACGTTATTTGTTTTTTTATTGTTTTCTTGTATTATTATTTTATATGTAGACAAAGAGATCATTTTGAAGATCTTTTACGACAATTAACACCTGAACGAATAAAAATTGGTGATGCTATGATATGGGCTATTGATCACGCTGAAGCAGCTGATGAAATAATTGATTGTATAACAGAATCACTTTCAATTCTTCAAACACCAACACATAAAAAAGTAAATAATATCATACATTTGAAATATTCTATATGAATAAACTGTTTTTTTTTTAATATTTATTTTAGATTTCTCGACTTTATTTAATATCAGATATTCTTCATAATTGTAGTGTTAAAGTAACAAATGCATCACATTATCGACGAGGGTAAAAAGAAAAGGGGAAATAATAAATAAATAAATAAATAAAAAGAGACAATTATTTGATTTTTAATTTACTTTAGATTTGAAGTACGTTTACCTGATATATTTCAACATATTCATCAAGCTTGGTCAGCTATTGATGGACGTCTTCGTGCTGAACAATTTAAAGTATTTATACATCAATCAAAAAGACTTTCTTTTTTATGTATCACTTTAAAATAATTTTCTAGCAAAAAGTGATGAGTAGTTTTCGTGCTTGGGAATCTTGGGCAATATATCCAAGTGATTTTCTTATAAAACTTCAAAATATATTTCTTGGTCTTGTACGACCAAAAGCAATAATAGTAAGAAAACAAAAAAAAATTTTATTTTTAAAATTCTTTTTTGTTTTTATTAAATAAAAAATATAAAGGAAAATGAAATGAAAAAATCAACATTCGATGATGATATTGATGGTAAACCAATTAATAATCTTGAATCATCCGATAATCGACCATTAGCACTTGTGGCTGATTATGATGATGAAGAAGATATTGATGGAAAACCAATATCAATTCCAAGTTCATCAATCGATGATGATATCGATGGTCGACCATTAAATACTAATCGTGAATGTACAATTTTCTATTGTGATTATTTTTTTTGTTGTTCTTCGAAAATTTTTTTTCTTTTCATTTAGCTCGACCACGTTTTCAAGAAGAAATTGAAGAAATGCCTTCTTCATCCTCAACAGTTAAACCTCGTTTTGTTCCAACAAAATGGGAATCTATTGATCCAACACAAGTTGCTACTCAAGGTAAAATAACGCTTAGATCATAATGAATTACACTAAATCTATATGCAATTTTTTTCTCATTTACTATTCATACAATAAATATTCATTCATATACCAAAAGACAAAGATTCTTCAAGCTCTACGAAAGCTTGTAATTCAATTTGGAAAAAAGAACAATTTTCCCACTGCGATACTTAAACTAAACGAAAGATCTAGAAGAAAAGTTAAAAAACAAAAAAAAAATGAACACTAAATTTTACATCCAGTTTTTCGTGCATTTGGCGAACAGATATTACACTTCGATTCACCATTCATGTATTTTCCTACTGAGTGAAAGATATGCAGGGTAAGAGAGATGAGAGTTTGAAAACAAAACGAACTCTGTCAATCTCATCATCACCATACTCATTTTTCGGAAAGCCTGCTGATTACTGTACAAAAGGAAAGATTTCTTTTTTGAAATTGAATTTCAGATTTTTGCAAAACTTGAAATTCCTCTGTGTTTTAGTCTATAAATGAATTTTTTTAATGAATAGTAAATAAGAGAAAAACGACATATACATTTAATGAAATTCATTATAATCTATCCATTCAAATAAAATAAAAATACATTTGTTATTTCCTAGCTGTAACTATATCGAAATGGGATTTTGATCAAGAATCAACTATTAAAGGAAATGAAAGTTTATATGAAGATTTAGCTGAAACATCAAGAACATCATCGGATAATAATAATAATAATAATAATACAAACAACGAGTGAGTTTTAATAGCGGAATATGAGAATATACCAATGGCAATATATTTAATAATGTTCTACTATTAAAGTGAAAATATTAGAAATAATTCATCAGCAAGTACGCATAGTATTGATAATACAGTAGTTCCAGATTCTTTATCAACATCAGATACATCCGAAGAACGACGTCAAAAATTACGAGATATTGAAGTATGATGAAAATTTGTTGTTGTTGTTGTTGTCTTTTTTTATTTTAATCATATTGTTTTCTTTTTAGATTCAAGTATTGAAATATACAGATGAATTAGAATCTGGAAGACTTGAACGTGCATATGGTCTTTCATTAGCTGAAGAAATTGAAATTTATCGACAAAATTTATTAAAAAAAGTGAGATTATGATTAAATTTAATTTATTAATTTTTTTTTTTTTGCATTGTAAATTTATTATAGATTGAAGTAGATGAAAAATCAACAACTGTTTTATCTCCGGATTCATCTAAGTCAACAAATCGAATTTCAATATCAAATAAACAACAATACGAATCATCGGCATCATCATCATCATCATCAAGAAATAACTCATCACGATATTCTCAACAAAAAAACATGGACGAGAAAAGTACGTGAGTGCAACGTCAGAAAATTCTTTAATTCTTTGACGTACACAAAATAATTTAAAACAATTAAATTAAAAAAGAACAGAAAGAAAAACTCCATTAAGGAGATATTAGCTGAGATTATTTACAAACAATACATAAATATATATTTATGGTTAATTCTCATGCTTGTATATGTACCTATCTCCAAATAGATCAAGAAACTAGTTCGCGTCGCGACGATTCGTCTTCTAGACATGTGAGTATTAATAATGTTTTCTTTTTTTTTTTTTTCTTTTATTTATTCTATATCAAAGGTAAAACCCTTCAAGAATGTATTTGTAATGCTTTAAATTATTTATATAAATATAGACACGAGAAAATTGATATTGAAATTACAATCAAACCTATTGATTTTATAAATGTTTATTTTAACATTTAAAACACAAGAAACTATTAGTAAATAAATAAATCTCAATCTAATAATGAGATATTTCAAATTTATGAATAATAATAAAAAATTATGTGAATAAAAAACAGTATATTTCAAGGCTTCATAAACAAAACCTCAGTTATTTTCTCATCAGAAACATATTGAGCAAAGTTTATTAAGCCTTAAATAAAAAAAAACATCTAACCCTGCGTATGTCTAGCACGACAAATAGTTAAATGAATAAATACAAAAATTAGTGGTCGCACCACAAAGTGTTGAGCCTTCGTCCAAGAAGATTGTTAAAATTATTGTTAATAATGATCCCACAGGAGGTCTGAGGAAGGATTCAGCCTTCATCATTAGTAAAAATTCTGTCGCTATCACTGAAGCAAAAATGACATAATAAAAAAAAAATCATAATTAAATCCGCTGTTCTGTTTTTATGGCGGAAATCAATAATTCATCAAGTAAAAAACGACAATAATCAGTGATCTTTCCACATCTATCAATTGTCTCTGCTGAAGAAATACTAATGACATACATAATATTTAATTCGTTTCAATTTATGTATATAGATAATTATAACAAATTAAATTTTCCAATAAATGAATTCTGTGATTTTGAATATTTTTTCAAAGACTTCTTAACATATTTTTTTAAATACTTTAATTGTTATAAATCGTTATGAAAAAAAAAAAAGGAAAGTCATTAATTTTATTGCTTTATGAATGATGTCGATAGCTCGAAAAATGTCAATTATTTATTCTTAAATTTTTGAGAATAGTAATGCCGCTTCAAATCAAAGAATAAAGAAATCTGGAAATTTTACAATGAACAGAGAATAAAAACTAAAGATCGGTCACGCAATTGAACTATATATTGATTTGTTCATTACAAATTCTGTAGCCTAATCAACAAAAAAAAATCAAAGCCTAAGAGAAATAGAATAGTTTTGAATAAATTTAATCTACTAGTAATATGCTTAAAACAAAAATTATTATTGTTTGTCAATATCCGTATGTAATCAATATTATTGAATATTATTGATATTAAAAAAAACTTAAAGAAAAAATGTCGATTAAATTGCATGAATTTATTTTTAAATAATATTTTATTGAAATAGTAGAAGATTTCTCGTTTGTCTATTTCTTATTGTTAGAGATCAACTTCAATACGAAGTAATTCATCAAATTCAAATCAATCCGAGTAAGTAGTCTTTTGTTCTATTTGTTTTCTAATCTTTAAAAATATGTCAATATTCATGTAAAAACTGTCGGATTATTTCATGACATGCAACTCAAAATTAGTTAGATTTTCATCAATGAAACTCATTGAAAAGAAGATAAAGAAATGATTACGTTCTTGTTTTTTAATCGTGCAATTAAAAAAAGAAATTATTTTATTTTTCAAGTTCTGCACGATCATCATCATCTAGAACGGCTAATGACCATCATCATCATCATCATCAACATAAACGAAAGCGAGATGAACGTTCACCATCACCATCTTCTCGTCACTCTCGATCCAGTCGTCGATAAACATATGAGAACAGCAATGTTCTCTTTTTTTTTTGTGTGTAATTTTTTTTTGTTGGACTAACTATTGTACGAACATATACATGTGTACATAAATAGAAATTTTTTTCTCCTGCTCGTTGATATTCTACCTGACTGCTATATTTGTGCGGAACAAAATATATAAAAAAAAGAGGCGAAAGAGAATGGACGACTCATAGAGAAGTACGTTTTTTCTTCTAATATAATCATTCGACAACATTATATATATATATTTTCTTTTTTTCTTCTGTTATATGACACAAGACTATTTCTTCTCATTTTTTTGCTGTTCTCTCCGAAAGTGAGTTGACATCAGTCTTCTCGTGTATATTCTCCGTAGAATTAGCTCGATCATTTCTCATTCGACGCTGGCAGAAATGAACGGAATATAACAGACATCTGTTGGTGTCCGATGATCTGAAAGCGAAATAAAAGAAGCGGAGTATTAGAACATAGAAGAGCTCCCTTGTCGTGACAGCAGCATGAGATTGTCTTGAATGAGAACAGAAAATAATAGATACTATACTATTCTTTTGACAAAACTCACTAACAATCATTTACAGCATCTGTTATGAAATACATCTTTTTGTTTTATTGTTCTTCTTTTTCTTATATTTGTGCGTAGATAAATTACGAATATTAAAAAAATGCATTTGACATTATCAACGGAAATCGGAAGTTGACGTCGTCTATCGCTTACTTTATGTATATTCTATATAACAAATAATTGTGAATCGAAGAATAACAAAACATATACGAAGCAACGTTAGCTTGTGTTCTTGTTCGTGCCATCAAAAAAAAAAAAAAAAAAAAAAAGAAAAAAAGAAGAGCGCGCGAGACAAGAGAAAAAGGAAAAAGAACGTATTTAGATCGTATATTTTTTTTTTGTAAAGAAAAAAATAGATACATCGAAACATTGTCGTTCGTCTGTAATAAATGAATGCGGCATATACGTCTTCGATTACGTTTCACGATATTTCTCATTCTGGCTACATTAACAATATCTTTTTTAATAACACTTTATACATTAATATGGTCAACTCATGAGTTCGAACGACAAGAACAAATTCGAGATACACCAAAATCACCCGGTGCTGTGCCATTTTGGTCAGCTATTAGTCATCAAAATATATATGATTTATATGCACAACCACCTAATACAATATTTAAGCGTCAAACAAATATCACTCAAGGTCGTATTGAAGAACTTTTTCAATTAGTACGTCATGCACGAACTGATCAAACTCATGTAGTTGATATAGAAAAATTATATCCTATTGATTCAAAATGGAATTTTCAAAAGTTACTTGAAGAACAACAAGCACGAGAACAAGATGATAAAAATGCTGATACAGCTGATTCAACAACAAATGTAACAAAACCAACAATTCAACCAGATTCAATAACAATAGAAAAAACTATGAATGAACATGATCAAATACAATTAAGAAATTATATACATCAAGTGTTAGCTAAATGGAAAACAGAACATCAAAATGATAAAATCGTTACTATAGCAGATCTTATGCATGATGAAATTGAACATGATGAACCATTGTAAGTTTCTTTTATTTGCATCAAAAAATATTTTAGTTGTTTTTTTTTTCTATGAAAGATGAAACCTTTCATATTTTTATAAGTCTAAATCAAGTATTTGCACACGTGCAATATTTGATGTGCAAAAAAGCAACAAGCTTTAAACCTCTCATTTACAGAAGATAAAATTTTATACTGATTTCTTTATCAAAATCTTTGTTATACAATGTTGTTAAGTTAATCGTATGGTATCAGCGAATCATTTTTTCTATTGAGATAGCCAATTTAATACCTATGTCAAATATATTTTAAATAATGAATTTTTAATAGTTAATTTTCATATATCTTAAAAGATACTCTTTTTTATACGATTAAACTGTCGATTATATGATAGCATTATAGTTTTTTTCTTTTCAATATTAATCGATACTTTTTCAATAACAAGAAGAATAATATATAAGTTGCTCTTAGCAATTATAAATGATAATAAGAACCGAGAGATGTTTTTCTTTTTCTATATATATATATATATATATGTGTTAAGTTGCACATGATTAATAAGTAATTAATAAGATCCAATTCAATTTGTGTATGACACATACGCACACAAAAATATTTTAGTTTTGTAACAGGGTAATTGTTAATCATATCTATTGAATATTTTTCTCGGATATCAAATGAAATAAATATAATATTCTTCGATTTTTTGTTCGTCATTTATTTTCTCAATAAATATTTCCTAGAATCATTCAAGAACAAAGTGAGATTAGACGGCGCCCTTTTTTTTTAATTGATTTCACAAACGACAAAATAGCACAGATGTTTCAAACAATTTTTACATGCTTTATTTCCATGAATAAATGATTATTGTTTTAGAAATTCAGCAATGAAATACAGATGTCCCATCTGATGTCGCATGAATCAGTTCTGTTTAAAGCACTATTTTGAATAATAAGTTAGAGAAAAAAAATATCTTGGTCGATGTGCTTGAGTATAGAAAAAAACATATTTTTCTTCAATTTTGATATTTTCTCTATTTGTATCCTATGTAAAGACAGTATATATATATATATTTATAGTATCAATAGAATATTGAAATGGTTTCTTTGACATACATATTATAAGTCGGCATCATTTTTCATATCTAATCCATCTTAGAAACCAATTCAATTTTCAAGTAATACCCCATTGTAATTGATATAAAATTCTTTCGAGAAAAAAAAATATATCATTGATTCTTTTTAGGAGACTGAACACATCATGGTATAAATATATGAAAACAGCAACTAATTTACGTGTTTATGATCCACATAGTCGAGAACTTAAACGTCTTTTAAATCATTTACAAAATGCTGAAGTTATTGAAGCGAGTGAGATAGACTTAATTCTTTTTTTCTAGTTTATGATTTCCTTTCTTTTCCTTCTTTTAGGTGAAATGTCACAAGGCACACAGATTAAAATTATTCTAGATTTGCCAGATGGTTTTGAAGCACTCTTTAAACCATACAGGTAAATAATTGGTTTCTACGTGATTTATCCTTTTATATGCATTTTTTTAATTTATAGAGTACCGCGTAATTATCAAACATTACCAGATCATTTCTATTTCAGTGATGTTGAAAGACATCATGCTGAAATAGCTGCATTTCATTTAGACAAGTAAATTGATTTTATGTTTTTTAATTTACAGTATCATTTCTTATATTTATAAGAGTTCTTGGTTTTTATCGTGTTCCACCACTAGTTGGACGATTAATTGATATAACTCGAGATATTCGTGAAAAAGCAACAGACGAATTAGCTAAAACATTTTTTATTTCACCTGGTAAAATAAAATGAAATATTATTTGTAATTCATTTAAAATTTCTAGCAAATAATACGTGCTTCCGTGGTCATTGTTCCTATTATTGTGATACATCTCATGCTGTTTGTGGCAAACCAGGTGATCGATTAGAAGGTTCCGTTCAAATTCTTTTACCACGACCACCTGAACTTGATTGGGCAAAAATTACTCATCCATATCGTCGTTCATATAGTGCTGTCAAAAAAGCTAAATGGGAATCGAATGAAAATTATTGTTATGAACATGTTTTTTTGGGTTAGTTCAATTCTATATTGTTTATCGTTACTTTTTAATACTATTACTAATAATAATTTGTCATTTTTCTTTTAGATGAGGAGTTTCATAATCGTCTATTACTTGACATGATGGATTTATCAGCATTTGACTTTCTCATTGGTAAATGACTTTCTATAAGCTTTTCTTTATGCTTCGAATAGCACTTAAATGCATTTCTTTTTTCTCTTCTTACTATGAATGTATAGAATAGAATGTTATATAAATTTTGAATGATCTGTCTTTTGGTCCGTTAGCTCTTTATCTTGTATTTTTAATGTGAGACCTTGAAAATGATTAATTGTAAAGAATGCCGAGATTCTAATTGAATGAACTAGTCGACATGATGATTGAAATTTTGTATTATGTCGCCATCTCATGAGAGACATAATACGACACTTAAATGATAAAAACAGATTTCGAACATTTGCTAATAAGATTTTCATCCATAGAACTTTCGACAAGACATCTCTCTGAACTTTCGCCGATGGGCAAAATCCCAGCTATCTGATAAAATAAAACTAGTCGCGTAATTTCATTCAATATTTTTTATTGTTTGCTACTTTTTAGGTAATATGGATCGTCATCATATGATGCGAATTAGTTCTTTTGGCGATAATACAGCTTTACTTCATTTGGATAATGGTAGAAGTTTTGGTCGATATGATCATGATGACTTATCAATATTAACACCCATTCGTCATTGTTGTCTTTTTCGTTATTCAACATTTGCTCGATTATATCGTGTTTATCGTCAAGGTCTTTCAACATTATTAGCTCGTTCATTAGAAAATGGTGAAAAATTACAAAAGATTCTTGTTGATGAACATCTCATTGCTATTGATCGACGTTTAGAAATTCTTTTTGAGCATTTAGATACTTGTATTAAAACTTATACAGTGAAAGGAGTAATGATAGATGATGGGATAGATTAAGTCTAGTGTGATAGATATATGATGGGTATATGCAACAGTGAATTTTATTTTATTTTCATGTTAGAGACATTTTTCATTTTGTTGTTGTTGTTGTTGTTGTTTTCTTTCTTTTGTGTAACAGGAAAATTTTATTAATTAAAAAAAATCTGGTTCTAGGAGATAATACATGATTTTGAATTTGATGATTCTAATCGATGAACAGCACCGACAAAACGAACAAATTGATCACGATATAATTTTGTATTATATTTTTCTTCATATCGTTCACTTATAGCATTATATTCAATTTGCCAATCAGGTCTAAGACATTGTCTATAGAGAAGAAGATCTATACCATGTCGAAAATCATACAAATCAATTAATTCTTGATGAATATAATTATCATCAAAATATTGTGCAATATTTTCTTTTTTCCATTGTTCTACTGGTATTTTTGAGTAATTTCGATTAGATTTAATATGATTATCTTCAGTAGATTTCGTTTCATTCTTGATATCTTCGATTGATTTATTGTCAATGATCGGAGAAGTAGTTGAAGGTTCAATTACTTTTTTTTTATCAGATTTTTGTTGTTTTTTATCTTCAATAATAAGTTTAATAACTTCTTCAATTGTATCATCAAATAATTTTTTTTCAAAACGAATATATTGTGGACCAACAATACGTACACCTAACCAACTAGTTGCTACAAAATCTTTTTTGACATATATTGGAATAAAACGCTTTTTAAGTACATCTTTTGCATACATCACTTCTTGTCGACATGATTTACTATCTTGATAATCTTTTGACATTAAAAAAAGAATAACATTCGATTGCTCAATAGCTTCAGCTATTTCTTCCCAAAAGTCTTCCGTATGACAATATGCAAAATCTACCCAAACTTGCAGGCGACTATCTATAGAATAGAAAAGAAAAATATAGGTTTGACTATGTTTCACTTTTTTCTAGAATAAAAAATAATAATCAATGCCATATGAACTTAGACATTCTCAAGATGTGAAATATTAAATCTATTAGTAGGAGAGTATTGATGATAAAGAAAAAATATTACAACAAAAAAAAACATTATTTATCAACAAGAAATAGACTTTATAACTCATGGATGCTTGTATACTATAAGTGAAGGAGATTGCTCATATTCGTATCAAATCAATGCTTTCATTGTCAATCTAACTATTGTAAAATATGAGCTACCCATAGCATGTATCGATCGAGATATTCAAATTTCAACGTATTTACAATCTATGTCATATGACCACATTTCAAAACTGCAGCAACATTGATTTTCCTTTGCTGTTTATGATTAAATAGAGCTCGTCAAATAATTTTGGAAAAAAAAATCAAGAACAAACATATTTAAAAATAACTTTACGTAAGTCAGAATTTAATGTCATATCACTCTTATATTTAACAATAATGATATCTTGGCTTTTTTTGTAAAATTGCTTTTGAATATGTGTGATATTGCTTTTTCCAATGTGTATCGTTGAGCACTATTTAATCATGGCGAAGAAAGAAAAATCAATGATGCTCAAATTTTGAAGTATGGGTGTATGACATATGCTTTAAATACATTGAAATTCGAATGTCTCCATCCATACAGGTTATGAACAGCCCTCTTCAAAATGAATCTTGGACTAAGTACATTCAAAATGTATAAAAATTTTAGGATATGTTGGGGTTATAGTGCAGAAGCTATGTTATTTTCCAGAGAAGAAGGTTCAAACAATTTTAGGAAGTTGATGAAGGAACCTCCTCATGCATTAAATGGTTTTTTTTCGACTAAGATCATGTTCATTTGATGAATGCTAGAAAGTAATAGAAAAGATTTGAATGATCTTTTCTCAAAGGCTTCGTTCTTGAGATATCGAAATTTTACTGAATTATTCAATAAACAACTGTCTTCCTTTTCAGATCCAACTTTTAGCTTCTTTAGTATTTCCTTTTCGAAAATGTAAATATATGAATAACATTTGCTTTTATATATGAGAGAATTTCCAATATTGAAAACCTTACGAAAAGCGAGACTAGAAAAATTGCAATATGTTCAATGAACTAATCTCATGGAAAATTTTGTTCGTGCAAAATCTGAAATCGAAACTCGAAAGTTGATTTTTGATGGGATCTGAGAAGGATCACAGTTTTTTGTTGAAAACCCAGTATAATTTCGAAATCTCAAGAATGAAGACTCAGAAAACCCAACAATACTAGACTTTCCTATTATTCCCTAGTACTCATCAAATGAACGTCGTTTCGATCGAAGAGCCATTTGATACTTGGAGAGATTCGCTCACGAATCATCCGTTGCTCTCTGCCCCTATGCCGCTACCATTAGTAGAAGTTTTAGTAGCAATTTCATCATATTCCATAACACTACTAAGTTGCTTTATAATTTGTTCATAATATAAACTTTACAATATCAACAAAACTTTGCAATATATATTACTATTCAATCGCATTTTAGTTTTTAATATTCAATGAAATAGAAATTTATCTTTGTGTGAAAGTTAACTCTTATGAGAATAGTCTATTTCTATAATATTCAACGATGTTTTCATTTAATAGTAAATCAAGAAATTTCATTCACCTTTCTGAAGTGCATCAATAAATTGATGACAAAATTCTTTATCAGCATGTGAATAACTAATCATAACACGCGTTCGATCAATTATGTTAATATCAGTTTGAAGTGTTTTTTTTGTTTCCGGTATGGTTGTTGTTCGAATACTTCGAGCTAAAATTATAAAATAAAAAAAAAACAAAAATAACTATCATTGATTTTTCTTTTCTTTATACCTGGATTATTTTCATCAAGATTCCATAATACTCCATTGGCTGCCTTTGATACACATGACATATGTTTAGGAACATATTGATCAACCCAAGCTTCTCCATGATCATTTGCTAAACTTTTAACAGTAATTAAGAATTTTGAATTTGATTTTAATTCTTCAACATATTCATCATGAAATGATACACTCCATAAAATATTAAATAAAGCTGTTAACGATAATTGATCAAGATCATTTTCACTTGCTAATGCTCCACGAAATTTTATTAATAGTTCACAAAAAAAATCGATTCTAGATTTAGCTTTCAGATTTTTAATAGATGATTCATTTAATACATATTGTAATATTTTATCATGTACACAAAGTTTAGTTAAAACAACAATTGGTTCACTAACATGAAATCCTTTACATCTATTATCTACTGATTGTCCACCATCAATAATTAATTCCATAAGTTGATCAAGAATTTGACGAAGATTATTTAAATCTTCTTGATTTTCTTTTGGTTCAGTTATTAATGATAAAATCATGCAATAAAATAAACGTAATTCTGTGTATAATTTATCATTATTATCTTTATTTGGTTTAAGTACTCGTTGTTGAAATTCTTTAAGTATGTTTATACCATTAGCATTATTTAATGCTTCAGCACCTTGTTCATGTCGTGCTAAATTATATAATATATGCATACATATACGTTGAATATCAAGCGATAAATCTTGCATTGAAATCCATTTTAAAGCATAATTTGAACATTTTGTTTCAATTAAAGTTGGAACTAATATTGTCTTATCAGCTAATGTCCAAAAAAGTAGTAAAATATACTTTACTGTTGTAGGAATACAAGTTTTATTTGAATTTTGTTTATTTTTATCAACATATTCAATAAGTAAACGCAAGTTTGGTACTAAATTATGTAAATCATTTTTTTTAAATACAATATGTCCACTAGTAGAATGAATATAATCAATAATTATGCAAAAAATTAATGTCATATGTGAAAAAAGTTCATTAGAACATTTATCATTAAGAAAATCAGTCATAAGAGGTAATGATAATAAATCAAATGAACGATAAAAAACAGTACGAGCATAAAGTGGGTTATTTTCAAATATAGACGATAAATTAAGTGTAATTTGAGTAGAAATCAAATAATTAAATATTTGTTGAAATGAACTATTGGAAATAATATTTGGACATGTTTTTATTGAAAGTAATTTATCAATATACGTTTTTAATGTTGCTTGTAATATATCAAATATTACCGTAGGTTGAGTAAGATTACTAAGTTCTTGAATTTTGCTTTGAATTGATTTAATATATTGAGAAATATTAGAATCAATTTCACCATTAGCTTCTGATTGTTTTAAAAGAATATTATGAAGATTTAATAGTAATGTTGGAAGATCATTTGGTAATTTAGATTCTTCCTTTGTAGATGAAGATGGTTCTGATAAGGAAACAACTAAATAAAAGTAATGATTTTTTTTTCTTTTTCGATAAAATATCAATTGTTAGACTATTAAATAATTTTATTTTGTTATTAATCTTTCATTCTCAGATACTAATTCCGGAAAGTTGATGTCAAGTCAATTACGAAAATAGTTTATATGGATGCTGATTATGACGCTGAGATAGTTAAATTTTGGCAAAGTCATTTTACTGTTAAGATGCAGAATAGGTCATAACTGATCGGAAATTTAGAATTGAAACCCAAGGAATTTTCAGACCAAGTCAGCATTTCTGTTATAAGTTCTCAAAAAAACTTTATTTCTGTGAATACTTGTTAAACTTCACAGTTCTTAGCATTATTTATTTTCATTAAAAAGTACTTATCAACAGTACGAGTATAGATGTGAATGTATAGGTGTTGTTGTTGTTATTGATTTGGCATAGAGTGAGTATAGGTACGGATCTTATCGTCATTCATATCTCATCTGCTAAGAGCTACGCCACATGCAACAAGACAAAGAGAAGCAAAATGCTAGCTAAAGTAATAAAATAGACAGGGTGTTGTTATTACGCGGACAAACATTTCTTTTGTTTTTAATGAAGAAACTAGAAGACTACAATAAAAAAGTGAACTTATCATGAAACATAGATTTACTAAAAGTAGATTAGAAGAGCATCATTTGGTAGTCCCGTTGAGATCTCGCCTTTTTTACTTTGACACTTATTGCATATGAGTAATAGCTATCTCAAAAG